TTGTTTTTGAAAGCAAATAATATTGAAAATTGGAACTTATAATTATATCTGTAATTATATATCACTAGCGGCACCAATTTGACGTGCAAGGACTAAATAAATCCTGAACGACAATGCATAATGAAATTATCGTAGATTAATTGAGAATTATAGATTTTAATGGTCGTTCATCATGTGTCGGACACGAACTTACTCGCACCTCGGGTAGTTGAGATGTTTAGGGAGAACGGACGCTCACGCGGATATTTTTTACTGAAAACGCATGAAAAATAATTAAATACACAATAATTAAAATCAATTATACAAATAGATTTATCAGAAGTACGCCATTGGACTTAGATAAGCATGTAGTTCGTATCTGTGATAACAAACGGGCTAACAGGAGCTGGATCTTCAGTGTCATAATAAGAAAGTCAGACATCGAGCAATGCTCATTTCAGAGCGACGTTCAATTAAAGACAGAATTATTAACAATGCATGACACTCGCCAGGCATGCTGAAGTGACATGCTTCTTCTCCACGCACACTGATTGTAAAAATTTCTACGTGAACTTTCAATTAATTAATTGTCACCTCCATGCTTTAAGGTCGCCTTATATAACTCAGGGCAATTAATGCTGGTAACTTTGTTGCATGGTTAGTTCTATATAGTCCATACATGTATTCAACTTTTCTTTATTGATCTGCCGCAGCATTTTACTATCTTTATGCTGGCACAAAAATAAATGGCGATAACTTCTTGGGAGGTAATCATATTTAATTCTTTAAAGCTTCACTGCTTTCTTCAACGCTACAAAAATGGGCGTTGTGGAGTCATCGAGAACGTACAATCAAATGCAATTATTTGTATAAGGAAATATTCTAAGCTATTGTGTCGGATATAATTTGATTCGAGATTAGATAATCAAAGTATTAAACTGAGAAGATTCTTATCTAGTTTACTAACTTTATTTTCCTAGTATGAAAGATTAAAAGGATTACTTATTTATTCATTATATCCACATGAATATCCGGAACGTGCATATCCTTGTATTTGATTACGTATCATATGGGCAAACCACTAACACAATAATTATTAGAGCCAAGTAAGTTCATGGACGCATGAAGACACACGCTATCATGATCAATCTGTTACACTAGGTTGCAACAGATTAAAAAGTATCATTTAAAGAGATACATTGTATTAGAATCCTAACAGAATAAGCAACGAAACAATATTGATCATATGGACAACTTAATTACCAATAAAATATTATCTAATTCATGCCTACGCAATTTTAATGACGCCGGATAATAACCGAAAACATAATCTTCGAGCCGTATCCAAAAAACTCCCATGCCTGAAGTAAGGCTCCATATTCAGACTAGAGATAAATTAGAGACAAAAAGTATGCTATTGCTTCATGAATGTTTCAGGGACTATGTTTACCATCAAGTGATGCTGGGAGGTGGTTTATCGATTCACCACGTGGATTGGTCTTATCTTAACGTGACAGTCGCATGTACAAGATACGGAAATTTTCACTGTGTATAACAAATGCTGTGCACGCGGAGATTTCTTTCCCCGCGTTTTATTCACTCAGGACTGACTATTTCTACAGCCTAAAAGCAATGATACGTACATCAAAAACTGAACAGGGTGATTTCAGGGCCCGATCCCATGATTTGGCACTGCGTGATTTTTTATTGGGTTATCTTAAATCAATAGTTTACAATGACTGTCCAAGAACCATACCTCATTCGAACAAACACCAAGCCATCGCCTCATGGAAGTTCAAAAATCGACTAACTGAATGCATCGACAATGGGGGCCGTCATTTGTTCGATGTCATCTTTAAAACTAAAAGAGGTACAAAAATTCAGGTAATATCTTTTTCAATAAAATTCATGTTGTAATGATATCTTTACTAGTTATTTTCTTATTGAGCTTTCAAATCAGAAAGTTTTCATGAAACATGTGTAGTTACATCAGGTTACATCAAGTGTATGAATACATTTGAAAAAATTTCACGTCAAAAAGTAAGCAGTTACTTCAATTTCAAGTCCGACTAAAAATATTAGGAAAAAACTTTCAAATTTTTATGATATCACTATCATATGGAGGGTATTGTCTATAATTTTAATCCAAAATAATGAACTAAAATGGTCTAACAGCTGAGTATATTTAATTTGAAACAATATTACCATTATGCTACACTTCTGCAAACCTATAAGACGAAAATTTCTTTTTGATACCTTGTTTGACTAGTCACTTTATGAGAACATTCTAGCTTGCCAAGGGTTCTTTGCAGTCCCAGATCGTCATCTATCACTCCTCGTGATGGGGAGAACTGGGGGCAATGAGCACTGGGGTTCCCTGCAGATAGCGCCGAGAAGCAATATGACATAAAAAACAATGTATAATCAATCTCTACAGGGGGGGGAGATTTTGCGTTGTAAGAATGTACCGATAATGAGCTTGTAGAAACTTCTAATAGAACGAACGTCAGGGTCCGTCAACAAAGATATTTCACTGATTATTTTTCTTTTCTAGGCCTGAGTCCACTTCCTCCACACTATCATCTGCCCCCTCGACAACAGAAACATTGTTGGTGACCAGTCATGGAGTGACATCACACGGCCGGCCCTTTCCTGAACTTTGGACAGTATTATGTATGCTACTCACGTCCTGTGACAATATGTCTCCTCAAAAATAAGGCCTTTACAGACATCCGGTGAATGATAGGGTGAACGCATGATTCACTCGAAGCCTAACCGCGTGGGTCGTCGAGTTTGACATCTCATTACTTCACGACCTTTGCCTCCCCTCGTTCGTGCCACAGCGCCTTATCAGCGTCTGTTACCATACGGGATTTGTACTCCACAAATTAGCATTTTCGTTCATTACTAGCATTTGGCGGATAATGTTTAAAAGGGGCGTTTACCCTAAAGTTTTCGGATTTGGCATTTTTTAGTCTCATCTTAAAGCTAACATTCTGCCCTATCCAACGGTACCATTACCATCTCTGTACGTTGATTTATGCGTTCACGACAGATCATGAAAGGGAGGGGGGTGGGGGAGTTATTTAACAAATAGAATAGGAGGAAATTCACTGCGAGCACTTTAAATAGTGTCTGCTTGAGGTGCACCTTAGTTACCCGCCTGGCGCCTTATGAGGAGGTGTACATGCAGTTGCTCCCACCACCCTTGACTGGAATCAAGCTCCAGTAACGTTTAGTTTTTTATCCTTGCTACATTGAGTGCCAATTGTGATGCGCGCGGAACTTTGTCGCGCTCTCTTGAACATTCACACTTATTGTCACGGCAAACCTATCTCCTCCTAGAGTTTTCAAGCTACAGTGATGAGACGTATACCATTCCATTCGTAAAAACCATACCTATCGAGTAACGAAGCTCTTTTTTTAGATTTGTGCATAGTTTGGATTCAAAATGGGGGAATGGGGGAATCTCTGGAAAATGAGAAGAAACGGGAAAATGCGTGTAAAAAAAGCTACGGCAAAAATAAAAAAATCGGGCTTCGTTACTCGATTGGTATGGTCTTTACGAATCGAATGGTATATCTTTCAATGCTGTAGCTTGAAAACTGTAGTAGATAGATTTTTAAAGTACCCCTTTTTGTCCGTTTTCTATGAATTTCATGTTTCTATTAATTTTTCGGAAAAAATTATTACGAACACTATCTGCTTGTATTTCGGTTTTACATATATGTGTGAAGTTTCAGAAAGATCCGTTAGTAAATGTGGAAGTTTTTCTGAAGGGTAGACGCGGGCCAAGACGCCCCCTTTAAAACAAGGAGGCTGATCAAGAAAGGCCGAGTAAACAATTCAGCGAGAATAACAAGTATAAATCGTTGTCATCTCCAAAAAAGCGTAGAAGTCGCACAATTCATGAACATTAATATTCAAAGTTTCTTCAAATTTCCTTCATCATAACCCTTTTGAAACAAAGTTTACTCATTTTTAGTTACTACCCAAGCATTGTAAATAAATTTGTGAGAAAGCATGACAAATTTCATATTGTCGTCCCATTTACGAGTTGAGTAATGTTTACCCTAATTTGTGAAGAACTCCATGCAAGCCGCCACGCCTGTCCGAGGCCTCGCGGTTGCCGAGGCAAGTGAACGTCCAAATATTCCTATAAAACTGGCCCCAGAACAATGTTCTGTATGAATCATTTTACTTCTGTGTTGATAGCCTGCACTTGACCTTAACCCAATTTATGAAGGTAGTAGGTGTGACGACTGTACCCATGCTGAGGAGAAGTCGTTTCGTCAATATTATAGACAAAATTAGCGATCCACTCACAGCTAACCTTGTAATAGGGCATCATTCATGCACACATCTCACAAATTAATGTTCAAAATATTCGGTATGAAATGTATCTTATGAATCTGAAATTTTAGTAAATTGGATTGCATTCCTATTCTTATTTTTGTATTTATATTAGATTTATTGATTGACTTGTTTCATAGCATTCCATGCTATTATTTCATACGAATCCATAAAATGGTAAAATACTAACTAGGCGCCACTTGCACGTGAAATATTTACATAAATTTGTTTTTCATCCTTTCCCATGAACTCTTGACAATTTTTGACTGCTAAGCACAGTGGAAGAAAATTGCATGCTATTGAACTGTTTCGAGTAAATTTAGAAAACTCTAAACAATTGTGAAACAGTGTTTTGAAAGCAGCTATAATGATAATTTTTGACAAAGTTTCGTAATGAAGCGAGAACTGCGATCCCAGTTGATCAATACTACACACATGCGCGCCTTTGAAAGTTTTAAACTTTTCCGTCCGTATATAAGTGAAGCTTTAATACAGAATCGAGTCATATCAATCATATTTTGGTTATTACTTACATAGAGAAATGATAGGACTGCCGGCATGCATATATACGCATATGCGTCAATGTCTCAGGGCGAGTGTAGCGAACGCCGTAAACTCTCTACGCGTATCGCTTCTTTTGTCGGTCGCGTAGCTATTCAAGCCGCAGCGGTTCCCAGTCTCCTGGCTCCTTGCCGCCAGTCAGTAAACTCAGTTAGGCTTTAGCCTTCGTGGTAGACAGGTTGCGATCGTCGTCTCCTGCCTTTACGTTCCTCACCGGTGAGCCGTTCCTGCAGATCTTTTGGAATATCTGCCGTTCGTTTCATATTCTGAGTGAAACTGACTTGAAGAATAAGCTATTTGAAGCTTGGTGAACTTTCCAGGAATTTTGTTCAATTTAAAAACTTGGATTCTAGAGTAGTTCAGTGTCATTTTAGTGGAAAACAATACAAGAACTGTGATTTCCTTCAGAAGTGGTGAAAATTCATTTACTCAGCTAGAAAGCCACAAGGAAATTTTCCGGAAAGACAGTATACATTAACTCACATGCATCACATATTAGTGCTACGGTATTGCTGTTTGTGTATTACCGTCTATTCTCCTTTCCATTATGGCATCTATAACAGCTGAAGTACTGCCTTTGGTGAATACAAACGTTCCTGTAACACCATCTTCCAATTTCAAACTCTCAACGGCTAGGACAGAACTCATCTCAGAGTCTTCAGATGTGGGTTCTTACAATCATTTTCCCCGTGATTATTTCGATGAAAGAGATATAAATGAAAACCCTCTTGATCTCTGTCAGCTTACAATGCACTCTAACTCTAACAATTATGACGAATCTCCTTCGATAACTGGAGCTGCTGCAAGAAAATCTATTGGAGCCTTCACATCATCTATGATTAATATTAGGTATAATAATATTGAAGCTTTCAATAATAATTTGAACTCATTTTCGAGCGTCGATACTCCCAAAATGACATCCAATTCTTCATCGTATTCCGAAGATAAGTCACGCGTCCCAGTTAACGGTGAAATAATTTATTCATCATCCAAGTTAGGAGCAGCAGACAAATCATCCCAGGTCGGTCAGACCTCAACTGGCAGAGATTTGGCGCACCATAAAACTAATTTCGCATCGACTTCTGCCATAGAACCATGTTTGAAGTACAGTGACTTCATGACTGGTCCAGAATCATGGAAAGACGACTCATTGTCACTCTCCTCGTCCTTCTCCTCATCCATGTCTTCCATTCCATCCATACCTACTCCACCTTCTCCGGCCAGTCCCCCTTCGTTCAGACCTCAGTCTTTACCTCATGAAGACGGCGCGTCGATGCCAGGATGCGACTTGTTTTCAAGCTCCCTGCCGCCAGAGTCCGCCTTCCACACGACCTACTTGACAAGCTCGTGCGGCGGCAGCCCTCGCAAGCGAGTCAAAGACAGAGAGGGGTTCATCCGGCGCGCCGCCTGTGTCTGCGTAAACGCCGACGAAACTGAGGTGAGTTACGTTTCCTTTCTAATATATCGGTGCTTTGGTTAGGTGAGTCCGTAACGTTTCGTATATTTCGTATCAACTGATTATTTTTTTCGAGGTTCCTTTTCGACTAGTAATGGCTGCTGGACATCCCTTCTGATTTTCTTATAATTATCGTATTCCTCTTTGGAAACGTATTTTTTTAGTGAAAATGAACTTGAATATCCAACTTATTCATGATTTACTGTATATTTTCTAACAATATGCACATTTATATTGATAACAATAACATCGTTCGATATACGCAGCCACAGTAAAGTTTACATTGCTTAGTCTAAAACCTGCAAGGCTGCAAGCCTGCAATTATCTATAATGGGCCTGGAGATCCCGGCAAAAATAAACTTCTGACACATGAACTGTAAACAAAATAATTGTAGGCTTCGTGCTTTGCTCGGTCGTGACGAAATGCCGGGTTTTTAGACGCATCTAACAGGTTTTACTAGCAGTCAGTATGTGCGTTTTGACCTACAGAATACCTTGATATGCATGTCAGTGCATTGAATGTTGTCGTTTATCAAGCTGTATTGACCTCTTTATTTGCATATTTTCCATCGTGACCGGTCCAATATGTTTTCGATTTGATTTATTTCTATCGTCAAATGAAGCATAAAATTCGAAAAAATCCAGCAAACAATGTACAGTGTAAGGCCCGCCAGGAACCCCCTGCAATATTAATGACATTTATGTATGTTTTTGAATCGGTTTAAAAATTCATATTTTGCGTCGTTCTGCATTCATTCACCTGTTGCCAAGCTTGTGAAGCCTCTTGCTAACTGCGCATTTTCAAACGGCCGCCTGGCACTGCTTGTCTGAGTGCTTGTTTATCGCTGTCGCCGCTTATCATTTATAACAAGTGTGTGGCTTCATCATCATAGTTTCAATGTCATCTCTGAAATTGACGGCGTGTTTTAGGAACTAATGTTCCAATAAATGTGTGGTCACCTAAAATAGTCTGAATAAATCTGGTCGGGTCTGCAATTACTTGAATTCACGACAGATTTAACTCAGTTTTATTTGTTGTGCTATAGTGTCATTCCATGTACACAAGTGGGAAATAGATCCAGGCGTGGATTTCAATATTAGTGGAAAACACGAGTAATTCTGTTATCAAGTCATCTCTAACACTCAACAAAATCTCTAGGACTTGCATGAGCATCTCTAACACTCAATTGTCAAGTCCTCATTGACATTTATTTCTTCGTAAGTCTCCCGGCAGTCGTTACTGCACATTCCAGGCGCCTCTGAAGATGGTTCAGCAAGCTGCCTGCCACACCTCGATGGACACTCCTGCTGTGTTGGTGTTCCCCTTACCTTTCTTACTGGCATTAGCGATCGACATGGAGTACAATACCTATATCTCACACGTACTTTTTAGTCCTACATTACGACATTTATTTGAATTTTATTCAGATGAATGCTTCAGATGTCCGTTAAGTCGTTCAGACATGAATGAAGTCCATTCGATACCTTTTTCAATCCTTCTATTGGGTACCTTTATATATTTTTTCTCTCCTGAAAGTATCTCTGATGTTCAATGCTACCCTCTGACTCACTAACTTAAGTGGGAGCAGCTTCCGGTCGTTTAATTCTATTTGGTCAAACGTTGGAGCCACGGAGGTTGTAAACTCTTGGCCTAAGATAGACGTTCTTCAACTTCGATGACTAACAAAATGTATTTTCTTCGTACTGCAGTCAATGTGAACTATTAGCCTTTTGGACGGTTCTGCGTTTAAAATTGCCCATATTTTCATTGGTAAGCCTAATTTTGTAGAGAAATCCTTTTTTTTATGCAATGTAGAGAAACAATTTGAACAGAACAGAAATTCTTGCTGCATAATTTAGTTTAAGAAGACTAATGCTTACGTCAGAGAATGAGTTTCATCGAAATAATTGCAGCATTACTTTACAATAAGGCTCACACTCCTTCACGGCTACGGGGCTAAAAAAATTAACGCAAAGAACCTGAAACTTGTTTATTGACGTCTGAGCTAATTGCTGAAGCTGAATACTGAAAATTAGCGCAAATAAAAAACATTTCATTGTCAATTCGTCTAATGTGTGTGCTGCAGCAATGAGCTGATAAGAGTTTATATATAGATTGTTTGCTACAATGGATAGTGTCAGCGATGATAACACGACTTGTGGGCATTTTAATTTTAATGTGCTAAGGTTTCACTAACCGTGCATTATGGCACACGTAAAACCCTTCAAAATGTGAAAATACTGTGACTCTTCCGCGCGGATTGCTATAACAGAAATATGTTGAAAATACCTTGAAAGTTTCAATTTGAAGTATTTTCAAGGTAACCTGGATGCTTGTGCGGTAAAATCACTTGGGTATCTGACAGCCTGGGATTCTCCCCTATGGTTACATTCTCCCCAAATGTTCGATCGCATTTTATGGATTCTGAAGCCCTGATCACGTCAAGCGCTACTGCTTAGTGTTCATCATAGTTTGAAGTGGCTCCAACCAACCATACTGAGCTACCATTTACTTAGAAGCAAACGTATACTTTTATAGGTTCTGCTTGCTGTGCGAATTTTGCTTGCATTAGCGAATACTGCAGTCATATAATATGACTTCTGTGACTTGCTTTGCTAATTTGCTCTAAAAATTCAAGCATTAGACGTTCGATTGCATTGAATGAATTCACCTAAAAATTTATTTGTTTACTAATTAAATTTCATTATTTACGGTACTAATTAAATTTAATTGAATACATTTTATGCAGCAGGGATCTCTTCTTATCACGTTGATGTGGAGGAGTGCATAAAAAAGCATCTCCTGAGATATCAGAGGCGATAATTGTAATAAATCATGGCTCATATTCATAATTTATTGACTGAACAGTGTTTATAAACAAAGCGTATTTGATGTCTGCATATAATTACCAAATTGTCGTAACACTACTAACACATCATGCAGTTAATGTAACCTGAATGATTTTTCAGCTTTTTCTAATCCTTGTTATTGAATAGTTCATGTTTCTGCTTAATTAACTTCGTCATATTTATTTCGGATCCAAGTATAAATATGTGAAGTCAAAATCATACTCCGGAAATGACTAATTGCTCGATATTTGCAATTATTTTCTAAGCATGAATGGTTCATTTGAATTTGTTGGTATCAATTCTACATTTCAGTGAGAACTCACGCACCGTAATTAGGTACCTATTCCGTTGTCGCTTGTGATGAAAGAGACCAAATGTTATGGATTTTCGTTGTATCTAAGTCCGCCCTATATACTTCTTCAATGGTTTTTGATATTCAAGCGAGCGTATCAGTTCGATTTTCGAGATCCAATCATAGACACGAAATAGTTTCAATATTTTGCCTCAAAATATTGTTTATCTGAAGCCTAACATTAGCGAATACTGGTTCTTAATAGCCAAATTGTTACCCCAAATTCCATCCAACATTCGCCATGAGAGAAATGTACCAGACTTTCCTCGCAAACATTGGTTTAATGACCTGTCTCGTCCATGAACGCCAGTTGTCTCGCAATAGTCGGCATGAACTTTATAAGCTTTCTCTTGTTTGACGATCCAAGGATTGAAATGTTGTAGCAAACAACCTTGTCCATATGGATCTATCAAGGTCGGTAAACAGTTCGTTGTCCGCACCTAGACCTACCAGGTCTCTCGATCACTTGATATTTTGCTCTGACGTGCGCGACGTTGGAATGTCCGCGAATGGAATGCTGATATTAAATGTCTTGTGACTCTCGGGTAGTCTCGTGATGCACGCATCTTGTTCACTCCTTGTGCACGTGATTTATTCTGATAGGGACCAATGGAGCCGCTCTGGTCACATGCACTTGGCTTGAGCTCTTGACTATTTTTGCGTCTTGGCTGACTATGGAATGATGTACGCGGCGATGACCTCTACTATTGGCTTGCTGTTTTTTGGCGCCGAGAAACTTTGAAGGCAAAGCGCGTATGATTGGTTCAGGATGCTGGCCACGCCTCCGTGCGACGATAGCTGACTGGGTCTGCACTGCTGGATCACGTGGGTAGGTCTCTTCGCCACGTGCTTCAGTAGTGGGATTTTTTTTACCATACGAGCTACGTTTACAACTATTTTTCTAATTTTTTATCAGTGCTTACGATATTTTTATCTCCCTATCGCCCTAATAATCGGGACCTAATGTTTTTTTTTTTTGTTCTGGAGCGACTGCGCTACCTTCACAATATCATAGCGTAACAATTCCTTGAGAGAACTTGAGATTTTATGGGATTGTTTACGTTAGCCTCCCGTCTGTTTATTAATTCCTGCGTCATAATTCCTGCGTCACCTTTCAATAATTTCTGCGTCATAATTATGCTTTCGTCTCAGTGTCACCTTTAACTAATATTTTTTCAAATTTACACATCAATGTTTCATTTTGGATTGATTTTTAATTATTGTGAAATTTATGGGACTTCTTTAGAAGCTGTTTTGGTGAAGAAATGTATTACAATCTCAAATATTTAACAAGGGGCATTCTTACATGAAGTGAATGACGGCTATTATATGGGTACAAATAATTGGTGTACGACATCTTATGACGAATTCTCGTTCAAAAACTCGTATTCTGTAGTACAAGTACAGAAGTTGCGTTTACCTCTGTTTTGAAGTGAGTAGATTGGTTTCGCCCAATTGAATCCTTTATTATAGATATGAATATTGTTTGAAATGTAAACTTATGGTTGAAGTCGTACAGAAGCTAAGCTGGTGCAATTTTATTCGTGTATAGGTAATCTTGATATTTATATTGGAATTGTGCCTGGTAGCTTAGTCGATTATTAATTGCCAACGGGATAAAAGGTAAAGTTGCTATCTTGAATTACTCGATGAGTGATTGCTGGAGCTCAAGTAAATTGTTTATTTCAAATGGGTTGTCATTTCTAATTCGAAAAACTGATGAATTCTGTTTCAAATTCAGAAGAATGATTCGGCAAATTTGTAGCAGGCTTTTTAGTCC